CTGCTTGGGAGCATCGGTCAGCGGCTCCCCATCCCCACGGGCACGGCCTGGGCCCCGCTGGCCGAGGTCGCCCCTGGACGGGACGTGGGCTGCTCCCTGCGGGCTTCGAGGGGCCCATCCCCGGCTGGGGGGTGGTGGGATGGCGGGGCTGCGATACCTGCCATGGCCCCGCGGGGCTGCTTGGCTGAGGGACAACGTCGGGGGGGGAGGCAGCTCAGGGGGTGGGGCATCGAGCGTGAATCGGCGGGGCATCGCCGATGGATCGGGGACATGCCCGCGATAGCGAGTCCGCTCGTTCCTGGCCAGGTTGGGGCTGTCGGCCCCACGCGCCAGGGACATCGAAATCCCCATCTGATAACTGGCGGCGAGCCCGGGGGGGAAGTGAGAAGGGGCGAGCCTTTTCAGAAGGCTCGGAAGTCCCACGGCCTTCTGAGAAGCGTTCTATACAGAGAACGGAAAAAGGCATCAACATAAAACTGTTGGAACTCCGCGCAGATTTCTTGGATCTGCACTGGGCCCCCCGGCGGCGCCTCCGGCGCCGCCCCTGGCGCGCTGCGCGCGCCAGGGAGGGGGATCCAGCGCCGATCCAAGAAATCCGCGCGGAGCTCCAACAATTTATGTTTACGCGGTTTGTGCTCTTCAATCCTCAGCCTTACCGGGAGACGCAGAGCACTTCGCAGAGATGCCCGGAGGGCTTCTGAGAAGCCCCGCCGCCTTCTGAGAGGGCCTTCTCCTTCTCACGTCCACCCCCCCTCGCTCGCTGCCGAGGCAAGAAAAGGATAAGCGAGGGTCAGAGCCCCGGGAGGCGAGCCAAGCCTCCCGGCGACGCGGAGAAGCGAAGGGGGGTGCGGGAGGGGGAAGGGGACCGAGGAGACAAGGACCACGAAGGGGCCCAGGGACACGCTGATAAATACACACGGACCCCACAGTTCCCCGTGTTGCTCCATACTTTCTGGATGCCCGTCTTCCCCCCCTCTTCCCAGACTGTCCCATGGTCTCCTGGAAGTCGACGATCGATCGTGTCTGTGTGCTCCCTGCCCCTCCATATAAAAAAACGTGGGGGCACAAAAATGGGGCCCTCCGGCCTGGCCAGGCGATGCCGCGAGGGCGGGGGCGGCGCAGAACGGTGGCGCCCGCGCCCGCGCCCCGAGGCTGCCGGAGGCGACCCGCAGCGCGCGGAGGGGATCCGCAGGGCGGCAGGGGGGCGGCGAAGCCCCAGCGCTGCTGGCTGCGAGCACCCGCCGCGGGAGAGCGGCGTTTTTTTACCGCTGCGCTGCTCTCCCACGGCGTCCCGCAGTAGGGCTGATCTCTGGGAGTCAGGCGGCCGTCGAGCTCGGCACTTAGACGCTGACACAGACGTGCACACATGCCAACGTGCCGTCAAGCAGGGCCACGCCCCCGCAGCACGAGACCGAGAGGCGAGGCCGAAAGACGGCCTCAGGGCGCGAGAGGCCAAGGAGCAGGAGGAGGAGCCAGCAGCTCGTCGGAAGCACCCGCCTCCCTGCCAGCTTCGTGGCCGGCGGCCGCCTGAATCCAGGCAGCGGCAGTGCAACGGCTGGCGGGGCACAGCGAAGCAAAGCAAGGCGCGGACACAGGGCGAGAATGGCGTCGTGATGAGCTTGGCTCAGGACACGCTCCAGGGCTTGCTAAAGCATCTGGCGGCGCAGCCGCTGCGGAGCATCAGGATACATGGGCAGTCCTGGAAGCCTTGGACCTTGGAACGTATCCGCCGACCCCTTGTGGGTCTCTAGGCGTGTGAGATAATTCCCCCCCCCATAATCCCCCCCCCAGGGACCCCAAACCGGAGATTTGACCCCCCCCCCCGGGCCCACCACGAGCGCGTCACGGGGCTCTTTTGGGCCCAAAAGGGGATCAAGACGGGCCCAGAAGGCTCCAAGAGGCCTCCAAGACGGCCCACGAGGGCCCCGAGACGCACCAGAACCTTTTGTCCGGCGGGGAGCGGCAACACCTCCCCGCCCTCATGCCAGCGCGACGAGCGCGCCGCCCCGGCGGTGCCGCCGGCGGCCATGGGCGACGGTGCAGCCCGCCGCGCGCCACCCTGGCGGCCCTTCCGACGGCCCGCTGGGCAGCCTCGGCGGCGGCGCCTGCCGTGCGGCGCCCGCGCGAGCCGCCCGTCACACTGCCAGGGAAGTACTCGTCGGAACCACGGTGGTTGATTTTATCGCCTCCTCCTCCTCCTCCTGCTCCTCCCTGGCGCCCTGTTGGAGAGGTGGCCGCAGGACTCGTCAGGCCCTGGCCGACGCCGCACACGGGGCCTTCGGCGCCCGGGCTCCGCCGGGCGGTGCTGTGAAGGCTGCCTGTGCCGCAGAGCGCCTGCTGCTGGCGCTGGCTGTGCGCCCGTGGCGAGCATGGGGCTACTGCGAGTTGTTATGATGGTGCTGGCCGTGATGGCGCCAGTGGTCCCGGGAGTGGCTGCGCTGACGGCCAATGCTGCTGGCGGTGCTGCTGCGCATGGTGGTGCTAGCGCCAGCCGAGCTGGGAAGCGTGGTGCCTCTGGATGATGCTGCGAGCAGTAATGCTGCTCCCGAAGGCCGCGAGGCCGTGGGCCAGCGGGGGCCAGCCGTGCCAGAGGCCCTGGTGCTGCTGGTTGCGGCTGCTGCGAGCTGTCGGCTGAGACCAGCTGGGCTGAAGCCGTGAATGGCACTGATGCGATGGGTGCTGCTGTTACCTGCCGCTGCTGCTCGATAGCGGAGCCAGCCACGGTGCGGCACTCCGTCGAGTTGCTCAGCGACATTGTTATGCAGAAACTCCGTCCTGTCACTCGAGGGTGGATGTCAAGAGCGTGGTGCTGCACCCCATTGTGCTGTTCAGCGCCCTGCTGCTGATGCCCCTCGCGTTGCTCGGCAACATGATGCAAGCGCCCGGCATGATGCTTGATGGTGGGCGTCAGGGTCGCAATTCGGCGTTCCGTCGTGCTCGCAACATTGCGACTCAGAGACTGGACCTGCTGCTCGATGGTGGATGCCACAGACCTGATGCTGGACTCCATCGTGCTGCTCGACGTCGTGCTTCTGGTACTCATTGTGCTCAACAGCGTGCTGCAAGTACCTTCCGTGTTGCTCGATGGTTGGTGTACGAATCGTGGTGCTGCACTCTGGCTTGCTGCGCAGCTCCGTGCTGCCGTAACCAGTCGCGACGGGAGGCAGGCAACCGACCTGCTAGTCGGTGGTGGACGTCAGAATCGTGATGCTGCACTCTGTCGCGCTGTTCCGCGTCGTGCTGCTGGTGCCCGTCGAGGGGGCCAGCGGTGCGCGGGTACCGTCCTGCTGTTCCATGGTGATTGTCAGAGCCGTGGTGCCGCATTCCGTCTCGCCGCTCCATCGCACTGCTCAACGCCGTGCTGCTGTGATGTGCCGTGGTGCCCAGCGGCGTGATGCGGAAACCCGTCTGGCTTCTAAATGGTGAATGTCAAGAACACGGTGCTGAACTCTGCCATACATATCGGTATCGTTCTGATGTACCTGCCGTAGTGCCCACTGGTGCTCGTCCTGCTGCTCGAAGGTGGGTGTCAGAGCCGTGATGTCGCACCCCCCCGTAGGGTCGTGCTGCCGAGACGTGTCGTGATAACCAGAAGCGTGATGCAGCAAAAGCGTCCTCCTGATCGATGGTGGGTGTCAATGTTAGGATCGTGATTTTACACTCTACGCCGTGCTTCTGGTAGGCGCCGTGGAGCTCAACGACGGGATGCAGGCGCCCGTCCTATAGGCGCAGCTGTTCAATTGCTTGCTTGTGCTGGCTCGCAAGAGTTACTCGACTAGACCGTGCGTATGCCCCAGAAGAGGTCGAATGTTGGCGCGATCCGCTGCAGCAGTGCCACGGTTGGAGTAACAATGCTAGATCCGCACGCACACACACGCACGCACGCACGCAATGACACCGCACGCACGCACACCCACACAACACACACTCATACACTCTCACACGCACAAACGCACACACACACACACACACAAAAACACACACGCACGCGCACACACATACACATATAACAGAAAAACGAAGACACGCGCAAACGCTCACGCACACTCAGAAACACACACACGCACGCACGCACGCACGAAAGCATGCACGCACACACACACACACACACACACACACACACACAAACACACAAAAACACACACACACACACAAACACGCACGCACTCTCTCTCTCTCTCTCTCTCTCTCACACATACACACACGAAAACACGCACGCACGCACGTACGCACACACGTGCGCACGCTCACGCAAAGACGCACACACCCACACAACACACACTCACAGACGCACACGCACACAAAAAATACACATGCATCACACACACAACAAACAAACAAACAAACAAACAAACAAACAAACAAACAAACAAACAACCAACCAACCAGCCAAACAAACAAAATAACAAACAAAATAACAAGCAAACACGCACGCACGCACGCAGACATGAGCACACACGAACATGACATGTCATGTTAAGCCCCCCAAAGCGGGGCCATTAATGCGAATGAGGGCTCGTGGGAACTTCGCTGAGAACTGAATCAACTTGCCTCGAGACACCAGGCATGAGCCATGTAAGACGAAGCTAGGAGGATGCATGGGGCGCCGCAACCGTACCAGAGCGCTCCAGAACGCCCTGAGAGCGTTCTGGAACGCTCTGGAAGGGGGATGTCCCGGTCCTGGGCCCGGCCGACCATGTCCGGCACCAGGACTTCCGCCACTGGCGGAAAGCCTGCGCCTGCACCGCTGGGTCCTGCGCCGCGATGAACTCCGCGACGTCGCCCACCTCGAGGGCGCCGATGGCGAACTCCGCGCCGCCGCCCCCGGCCGCCTTCGGCCTCTCCAGCGGCGGGGTGGGCGGGTCCACGACGATGCTCACGGCGTGTGCTGGCGCCCCCCGGGGCGCCACCACCTGCACCGCCATTTGGACGCCCGAAATGGGTACGGAAAGAATGGGTGCAATGCCCAACAACAAATCTTGTCACCAACCAACAGCGGC